CTAGAGCAGGGACTTGGCAGGAAAGCCAGTACCCATAATCAATGCCTACCACTCCTCAAAAGGTTTAGGATCAGAGACAAAATGTCAGAGGCACTAAGTCTTGCATGGCACTAGGGCCCAGAGACTGACCCAGATGAGAGCTAATGTTGGGGCCAACTTCAGGACAAGTCACAGAGCCAACTCATGGCTGAAACACAGAAGAGTACTAGATCTAGCTCTGTGGCTGACTTGCTGAGTGACTTGCCAGGTCTCTGTGTTCCCATCTATAAAATGGTAGCAGCTATGAGGAAATAGATGTGAAGAAAAAAGCACTGCTCAAGAGTAAGGGACTGCTTTGCAAGGGCCATCTTCTTCAGGGTCCCTCCTCTGACAGCATCTGGCTCTCTGTGGCTTGTAATTACTAACTATAATGCTGCCTGCTTTCTTCCCTCCCACCTGACTCAGAAGGTCCATGAGGTGTGATCTTCTCTCTGAGCCCACGCTTGCCCAGTCAACTTAATTCGACAGAGGGAGGGTCAGGTTGCCTCAGCCAACGGTCTCTCAAATGACGGTCTTCCATCCCTGAGTCACAGTTCAGCTTTCCAAGAGTAGCTAAGGGAGCTGAGGGTATCCTCCCAAGCTTCTTGGCTAAGGGAGAATGGCCAGTCCTCCCAGGCCCTGGGGCTGCCCCCCTCAACCCAAGCCACACAGATCACAAAGGCTGCTGGGAACCAGCCTCAGCTCCTGAACCCCACTCTCAGCTCTAGCCAGGCAAACACCATCCTTGGGCAGAAATGTGGCTTTGTTTTATACATCCATACTGGTCAGGTGGCCCCTGGGCTTTTTTACACCCATCAAGGGCAGGTGACACAATCAAACCCTCAGAAAACTATTGAGACTAGGGCCTTCTAAAGCAAGATGCCACAGATGCTTGCTTAAGAGTTCTTATAGCCATTCTGTGCAGAAAGGCTGAGGCCCTGGGAGGGGTCGTCTGTTAATCTGCATGGCACTCGTGCTGCTGTTCTCAAATCTCCCATGGGTGGACCCAAAGAGCAAGATGCTCTCGATGCTCCAGAAGATAATGCTTCAACCCAGTATGGGGCACCTAAGTTAACAGCTCTAGGAAGAGCTTCCTAAAAGTTAAAACTATCCAACAAGGGAGAGGTTCGCCTCAGTGGAGTATCCCTGGGCCTTGAGATGTTTGGAAGAATGCTGGCAGCTATTCTGTGCCAAAAACATTCTCTGGCCAAATAGATTTGGGAAATGTTGGCTGAAGAAAGGTTAACAGGTTTTGTATTGCAGATCTTCTCAGAGCCTTCATTGTGGTAGCCAGGAAAGACAGTATGCTGTGCTTTCCAATTGTACTTGACACCAAAGTCTTTCCCTCAACATCCGTAAAGTAGGGGTCTCTTGACAGCTATACTTTCCAGCTACCTGTCTCCCTGAAAGAAGGGAAGAAAACAACTGCCCTAAGAATCTAGCCTGAATGCAATGAGATAGCCATGTCCACCTGGGGGCCAAGGGGTTATAGGGACTACCTAGCAGAGGCTCTTAGCATCCTTAGGGGCACAAGAGGTAATGTTTAACAAGGACATAGTTCCAGTTTTCCAGAGGTAGACTCTTCACTGCTATGAATTAAAATTCGAAACAAAACTTACCAGACCAGACCCCATGCTGCCCAACCCCCACTCCTAAGAATTACCTGGAGAGAAGAGGAGGGCCTCACCCAAGGGCCACAGGAACCCTTCTTCAAAGGCATATGTATATTGTTGCCATAGAGCAGGTTTTTGAAACTGGGGTTTACGGGACCTAGTTTCTATACACCGAGGCCTTTTAAAACTGTACAAGATGTGCCTGCTTTGGCCTGGCACACTCTCCACGAGCTGGGAAGCCCCAAGAATCCAAGCCACCTCCTGGTGCTTGCTCCTGTACTTGTATGTGAACTCTGCCATCTCCCTCTCTGCTCCCAGGGCCAGTGTGCCACTCAGAACCCTTGGCTTATCTTCAGCTTCCCGAGCTGAGGTTCCAGGGGCACAATGGGCTTCTGTGCCCCCATGTCCTCACCCCCCCAAATCCCAGCTGCATTCATGGTGTTTAGCTATTGTGGTGGGAGCAGCCTGGGGGTGGTGCAGGAGGGAGGTGGGCTCTTGGCACAGGAGCTGGCACAGACAGGCTGTGGTCAGCGGTCAGCATGCAAGTCACATCCGCAGGCACTGCCATGGGGCCTGCCAGGCCTTGCACAGAATGGCGACACTTCTGGGCCCCCTGGGTCCCTTCATAGAGTCCCCTCCAGCCCACACACGACTTGCTTCCTCTCTGACCAGCCCTTTGGTGGCACTGAGGTAGGGGGTGGTTTTTTTTTTTTTTTTTGCCTTCTTAGCCAGTTGCTATTTTAGAGCCAGATTAGGTCACCAGCTAAGCCCTGGATATAGGAAAGGCCTGTCCCCAGGAGCACAGCTGGGGCTCGAAGAGTGTTTAGGAGGTAAAGTGGGTGGGGGGTGAGGTCGAGTGAGCCTGAAGCCAAAAGAGTCTTCCAGGAGTCAATAGGCACAGCCCTCCAGTCCCTCTGAGGAAGCCACTGTCCTGTAAGCATAAGACACGCCCCTGTTATCTCCTCCCCTAACCCAGCCTGCATTCAGGCACATAACCCCTTGTCTGAACAGGTCTCAAATCCCAGACATACCATCCTGGGGGACAGCAGAGACTAAATCTAACAGATGGGTAAACTGAGGTCCAAGAGAGACAGGGTTCCTTTGAGTTAGGTTATGAGAGACTTTTCCCATCACTATACAGTATACCTGTTCCTTCTGCACTATGCCCCTTCATGGGGAAATGAGGTTTACAGCAAGAAGAGAGAGGAGGTCCCACTGAGCTCCAGCTAGGAACCTAGATGCCAGGAATTTTTTTTTTTTTTGAGACATAGTCTCAGTATGTTGCCCTCGGTGGAGTGCCATAGTGTCACAGCTCACAGCAACCTCAAACTCTTGGGCTTAAGCGATTCTCTTGCCTCAGCCTCCCAAGTAGCTGGGACTATAGGCGCTTACCACAATGCCCAGCTATTTTTTTGTTGTAGTTGTCATTGTTGTTTGGCAGGCCCTGGCTGGGTTCAAACTGCCAGCCTCAGTGTATGTGGCCGGTGCCCTAGCCCCTAAGCTACAGGCGCTGAGCCAGATGCCAGAAATTTTTAAGAAAAGGAACAACATCCTACTCTCTCAGGGGGTCTTGATGGTCAAGAGCTCCCAGGTCCTCTCAGTGCAGACCTAAAGGCAGGGAACAAGGCCACCAAAGGGTGGAAGCAGGGGGAGGATAGCAGAGGCTAATTAGGGAGCCCCACTTGAGCTGCAGGTCATGGTCACCCTCCTTCCTAGAAGAGCTCACTTGGGGCTCCCACAGCCCCTTCCATTAAGTCACCCACTGTTCATACTCTGCACTGGCTTGTCTGTCTACTCATCTATGGCCCCCACTAGCCTGTGGCTGCAACCCAGAGCTCAACAAGTGTTTGGTAAGAGAACAAAGCCCCAGACACTGAAGTAACACCCCACAAACAGTCCTCCAAAGTCAGTGGACACCTGAAGCCAGTTCCCTGAAGAGGCAGAAAATTCTCTTACAAAAAAGAAAGATCCCCAGCCAGGAACAATTCCTCAAGTGGAGAGAATGCCTTACAGTTTACCAAGAGTTTTAGCATACAAATGCTTTTGCTTGGCACCAAAGGGTGCCTTTCCAGACTCATCTACCTCCACTATGCCCAGCCTCCCTACACAGGTCAATAGGTTGGCCTGAGTGGTGCTGGCCTTAGGCCAGCATTTTACATGGCCATGTCTACCCCAGTAAATAACCTCAGAGTTAAACATGCTTATGAGGCCCCTGCCTCCTCATCTCATCCCCAGCATCCAGGCCCTTTCCCCAGCCCATTCAGGACTTTGACTCCCCTAAAACGAACCCATGTGCCCAGGTCTAGAGAGAAAGTAACCCCATGTGCATCCCCCACCTTCTGCACCTTTGCAGAGAAAGACCCCACAAGGGGAGGAAAACAGATAAGTGTCTGCAATTCCCAAATGAGGCAGGAGTAAGTGGGGGTGTCAGAGGGGGAGGATTTCCTCTGGGCTAGCTAGAGAGAAAAGTGGAATCTAGGCAGGCTTCAGAGAGGACTCCTCAAAAGGGTTTGGGAGAAGGTGATGATCTGTGTATTTATCTAGCTGGCAAAGAGGCACTGCCCAGTCGACTTTGTAACTGAATCCACCAAATAGGCAGACTTTGTGACATAGCCGGCCCAGGTTTCTGCAGAAGGCACTGGGCAGCTGGAAACTCTCCCCTTATCTAGTCCCCCTCCCAAGAGCTCAAGAGGATTTCCCTTTCATTTCCTTCCAGGCTGGGGGGGCGGGGGGCAGAGGACAGCACAGTATGCGGGGTCAAGCCTTAAAAACCACTTCCTATGTGGTTGGAGGAGGGCAAGCAGCTGGAGGATGTATCTGGGGGTCCCCGTGTGAAAACAGGAGGAAAAGCCCCCTCTGCACTCACTGCTATCCAGGGTGCCCCTCCGGTCAGGAACCACAGAAATCAGAGAAAAAAAGATTTCAGGCCTTCCAGAGGAGCTTGGAGCAGAATTTGCAGTTTCGGTCCCAAGCCAGCGGTGGCCAGGAGGCTGATAGAGTTGGGCGTGGGAAGGACACTTGGAAGGGGCTCCCCGCCCTGGCCGCACCCCAGCTGTCTGTAGGGAATCCGGAGACAACCTCCCCCAACTCCCTCTCCCAGCCCCCTACGAGCAGGGCTCCCCAGGCTTGGAGAGGGGGCAGGAGAGCCCCGCCCGGGCCTGAGCTGCTCCCGGCCGGGCTCAGCCGGGAGGTGACGCGTTCCCGGTGCCCCGGGGACTTCGGGCGGCGAGTTTGGCAGAATCGAACGAAGCTAAGCCAAGACCAGCCGAGCGATGCGGAGCTGGGCAGAGTCAGGCCAGGAAGAGCTGGACAGATAGGAAACCGTCCGGCTCAGTGGGGCGGAGGGCGGGGGCGCGCGGGGGCACCCACCTCTCCCCGCTGCAGCTGGAAAAAGCTGTTGAGATAGCTGGAGTGCAAGGGCGAGCCCAGTTGCTCTGGGCGGCCCTTGCCGAAGGCCAGCTCCGGCGGTGCGGCGGCGGCTGTGGGCTCCGGCCGGAAAGCATCGAAGGCGCTGGTTTGGTGAGTGTCCTGCAGCGACAGGTAGACCCAGTTGAGCAGTTGGGCCGGCTGGTATACCGAGGCGGCGCTCGTGTCGATGGCCGACAGCAGGCTCATTTTGCCGCGGCGGTGCCGGCCCCTCCCCGGCCGCCCGCTTGCGACCCCCCCAAGCGGAGGGGCGGGCACCGGGGAGCCTGCGCCCACCGCCAGCCGCCCGAGCCCTGTCGGCGACCGCCCCGCGTCCTGCGTCCTGCGCTCTGCCCG